CTCCCCATGAGGAGGCTGCAGTCACTCAACTCGGAGTAGTAGTATGCAGACAACGCAACCGCCCGCGGCGACTCCGCTTTCGCTGCAGCAGTCCAACAGTGCAGCAAATATGCTCTGGTTTAYATAGTCATACCCACAATCATTCAATAGCCCGCAATAAGCACAATAAAAAACCTTCACGCTCGCGGCCAGCCAGAAGTAACTTGCACAACGCGTCTGCGCTTGGGTAGCCAGACTTTAATCGGCCGGTCCGTCTTCTACCTTGCAGCTGCCCCCGCGCTTCCTCCACCTAAATAGGGCGGACAGTTATTCATCCAACAGGTAGTTCCTCAACCCACGCGGCTTACTCCCTTGCTGCCCAACCAGCGGGTGGGCAGTCTCCCCAGCCAACAAGTAGTCCTCCTATCCCGTGGTCGGCCCCTCAGTTGCTCGGGGAGATAGAAACTATCAATCGATAAGGGAGGCAATTTCTGGCATAGCTCGCGCTAGAGAAGGATTCAGTATTTCACAGTTCGGCTGCACTATTCTCTTATAACGAAAGGAGTAAAATCGAGTGAACCTCCCACTCGAATAGGAACTACGGGCCCCCCTTCCCTTAACTGTACGCCGGGACAATCGCGGGGGACGACCCACCCACCTGCAGGTAAGTTCTCGCCGTCAGTCCGCCCCGCCACTCAACCAAAACAGAAATCGGAATGATTCCTCTGCTGAAACGCAGCTAGGTGCACTAGCCCGTCATCGGCCCCGTCCCTTTCACACACCTCTACCCTCGCTAAGTCTAATCCCGGTCTACTACTCTCGACACCAACTTGTACCACCGGGATCGCCCTCCCAAAAAGACCCTTATCTTACCCCTCCTTCCTCGCCTGATTCCGCCATATATCGAGTAGTGCCTCGTTTCCTCCTTCTCGCACCCCCCCTTTTGTCGCCATAGCCCAGCGCAATCTCTGCCTCGCCGGCCTCCCTACTTACTAATCTTCCTTCCAATCTAACTGTATAGTTTGATCCGCCTGGCCTCAGAATCCTGATCTCGACCTTTGATCCAACGAAATCAATCAAGGCACGACCGATATATACTAACTTGCTCTCCTGTTCCTCCACTCTCCGCCATATCCCGGCACCCCACGCTGCTTATCTCTTTACTAACCTCTATTGATCGAGCAGCCTGCAGCGAACGGAGCCTGCAAGACTCCGACCGGAGAAACTAAGCAAAACAACTCGGGGGGGTAAATCTCCCTCCGGTTTATACGTTTTGATCTTGCACAGGGGCCATGCTAATCTTCTCTGTATCGTTCCAATTTGAACGGATGTCCCCAAGGACATCGCACCGGCCGCCGCCAGCGTATTACCGCGGCGGGCCGCTGATGCTCCCCCCCGTCGTGGCTAGTCCCCCCCCCCCCCTGCGTTATGCACCTGCCCGGTCCTCGCGTCCCAGTTCGTCCTACTCTCACCACCTCGTCGGCTCTGCCCCCCTCCCTTCTCACAACCAACGTCGCGCCTGGTAACGACCAACTCCCCCAGTTCGCAGGGGCTGTCCAGGCGCTCCACTAACTCTAAGGGAAGCGGCGGCAGGATCCGCGACTGATAATGAGAATGTCAAAATAGTTAAGTTACAAAAAAATATAAAAACGATAACAAAGATAAGACAAAATAATCATAACTCGAAAAGGGTCCTGAACGAGGTGCGGGGCTACGGATACCCCACCGGTCCCGTGGACCGGGTCTATCACCGCCCTTGTTAACAAAACCAAGGGGGGATAGCCCCGTCGGGCCCTCAACCCCCTCAACTCCCTCCACAATGCTCCGCCGCTGCTGCACCAACGCCTGCTGGCCTCGATCCCTTAATCCCCGCAGTGGTAGTTCAACGCCGGAACCGTATAGGACTAAGCCCAAACCTGGTACAGCGGAGCGCGGGCTTCAATGTGAAGTGGTGCCGCGCCGTGCCCTGACCTGGAAAAAACTGCCTAGGCCCTCCTTCCCCACCTACAACCGGCGCGCCAACGCCCGACACTCACGCCGGCCTACTTAGACCCCATCGTGGCCAACCCGTGCGCCTACCGGCGCGTCAATCCTACTGTCGATCACGCGCGCCAACCAAAAACGAACTTTCATCCCCTAAACAAAAACCATAGCTCGGTCCAGGTCGGTCGACTAGACCGGCCGCTCACTCAATCAGAAAAGTCACACGAGCGTCTTAAAACTGCGCGCCCACATACCCTCTAACTTACTCAGGACGAGTCCCGGACGAGGCCGTACCTCGCCCGACTTATGCCGACCAACCCATTTTTCTGTCATTTGCAAAAACCAGGGTGGATACCCTTGTAAGGGTATTCGCGCCGACAGCCTACCGGACTATATTAATCGATGTCCCTGTCGCTACGCCAAATAAAAAAGCTACAAACTCATTCACACTCCAAATGCTGACGGGAGCGGAACCAATTCCGATTGGCTGACAGACTCAGGGTTGAGGCCTCCAACACTCCATGCCGACATAACTATATGCCGCCAGGGTTTCAACCTGGGTTTCCGTTGTCGTCACACTAGGACGCAGGCGTATTACGCATCAATACTACAACATAAGTTCCAAGGGCCACCTCAAACTGTCCTCTCCCCTTCGTCCTAGACAAACACCGGCTTTTTGTTGGGTGTCCCAGTTCGACTCTCTCTCGTAAGCAGAGTCATACGGGGACGTGGGCCTTAGACGAGACCTCAGGAGGCACTCTCGCCTCCCTCGCGAAAATCCTCACAATCAAACATATATATATACGTAAATCTTCTCTCAGCTCTTTCTGCAGTCTAGTACAGAAATGTTAGGCCTCCATCCTGGCCCACCATAGTCTGGTTGATCAAGTCAGATCTACGGCCTACCGCATTGTTATCTTAGGGGCAGTTCCTTCATTGGTTATGCAACGATAGGTCTTCTCCTGATAGACACTCAATCAGGGTGCCCAAACGACTCGACCGTATCCCCCGCCATCCCACCGGAGTAATTTCCTCGAGGTGTGCATAACCCCTTAAACTCTTACTCCGTTGGTAGACGTGGGCCCGCAGCCAGGTTGTGCTGACTCGCAACCATCCAATAGGGGTTGCGCCCTAGGGGTGCTAGCCTTTACCGTCTAGCTTGGTATTCCTCAATATGCCTTAGGATTAACACATGTGTCTAGATGGTGCGTTGCAAAACAGATCACAGGCCCATTGCGGGACTATGCAGAGGTTTGTCTCACTTTAAAGGCGTCCACTAGCTCCCTATGGGATACGTAGGAAGCGTGGCCTCCTTTTCACAATCACAAACAAATTTGCCGCTAGGCTCACACCAGGCCGTGACCTACTTGACTTGATCAGAGGCAGCAGACCACACATCCCACAACATTTTTATGCACTTACTTGCGACCTTCTCGGTTCCACCAATGGTTCCAACTCATAACCCTGGTTCCTCTCGTCAGACTTTATCATTCAAACATTGCTTACCATGTCATTAAATCTATTACCCACTTTTCACATGAGGGGGTCTCTTTTAAGAGGTCTTCTAGTCATCCCTCTCTTCTCATAGGATGGACTATCACGCGACCTTGGTTATATAACCATCAATAACCAACATTCCCACCCTCCATAATCTGAAGGGGGCCTCCACCATAGAGCTACTCACCGAGGGCCTATTTAAGGGTTTTCTTTGTCAACTCATACGCAAAACAACTCGAACTAGGGGACCAACTTATGGACCCCTTTTACAACTTAGCCATAAACATCCGGCATGGTAAGCATTCGAGCCATATAAGCTCGCAAGACCCCTTAGGGTCCTCACACATCTGTCACCAAACAGCCGCGCTGCCTCCCCTTATACTGGGTCATTTCACCCGCCCATGAGCAGGTCACACGAGTATACCGAAGAGTAGACGACAATCACAATCACACAATACACATACATGAGATGTATCCCACACATCTCTCACACAAAGCCCTCATTCATTGGGACAAAGCCACACGTGTGAGAGTGATCGTGATCGTCACAAGAGTAAATCCCACAGAGGGTGGAATCAAAATATACTCGGGAGCAAAATATCTTCCTCAAGTCTCAATACAATACTCAACTCAAGCTCTCACATACACAATTCCTAGGATATACCTAGGAATAGGATGCCCGCCCCAGTGAACAACTCAGCACTGAGTTCCCTGTACACTCTACAGGGTGGACTCACATCCCAGATGTTATGGCTCTCAGGATCCAATCAGAAATGTAAAGAAGGTTTCCAAACCTCCAAACCTAATGTACAAATCACACAGTCACAGGTATCTCACAATTGAATCTCACCCGCTGAACTGTATCACACACAAAACCCAATGACCGATTGAGCCCTGCCACCTATGTATGTACAACTAGACATGACTCCCACGACGAACTCAGACGTGCACACCCCTTAGGACCCACTGAATCAACTCAGAGTACGTACATCCCTAACCTGACCTCTTAGTACAAAGCAACTCTAGTCCTACTGTCATATAGACAGGCCAGCCCCTACTCACTCATGGCCTCCTGGTTCTGCCTATACAATTGTGCCCTACCCCCATCTGGAGCCCGCTCTACCACTCGCCCCTGTCTGTTGTACATCCTTCCAYYWCTCTCTGTCACTCTCCCAGCCACCTTGTCCTTAAGGAACTTCGGGCATTCAAGAGCTCTATGTACGCCATCCTTGCAGAAGAAGCACTGATCGTCTGATCTCCCCCGACACCTCCTCTTCTTCTTCTGGAACCCAGGSGACGGCGGCGTCTCGCTAGTTTCCCTGCTCATCTCGTGGCTCTGGGGCATACTCCATGACTCTGCCGGCCCTGATTCCATCATCTGGGTACTCGGCACTGCTAGCATCTCATCTCCCTCGGGTCGGTACGCTGGAGTGTCCAATCTCAGTGGCCTACCCTCGCGGACTCCTCCCATCGCAGTCGCCCCCTTGTCCCTATGCAGGTTAGAAGGCTGGGGAGTCATGACAGTCACTGACTCGCTCATAACTTCCTGCTGCTGCTCTGAGATGTGCTCTCCTGAGTCAGCTTCAGTAGCCTAAGAGCCCAACTGCGTCCTCAACTCCCCTATCTCTGGCACTCACTCCGGGGTCTCCTGCCTCTGAGGCCCTCCTGACGGCATGTCCAGCTCCATGGCTGCCACCAACTCGTCCAGTCGAGACGCCTCTCCCCCCATTACCTCCAGCTCAGTGGATGCTGCTGTTCCAGTAAGGGCACCCTCCCGCACCTCCAAAAGGATCGTAGGGGACTCCTCTGTGGGSCCCCCCTCCGCCACTTGAGGTTAGGRTCTYTGCGCCGGATCGTCCCCAAGAGCCTCAATCGTCATAGCGGTGGCCTGTTGCAAGGCCAAMTCCGTGGGAGTCCTGAAGCTGAACCTCCTCTCCTCGGCCTCCCGCCTTGCCGCCGCCTCTGTTGGGTCCAGGAATACCTTTCCCATTCCTTCTTGCTGTGCCGTCTCTGTCGTTCCTTCCTGGCCAAAGAGCCCCTGTACCTCCTTTCCCTGGATACCATACCGGCTCTGCTCCGTCCACTCGACCACCTCAGTGGACGATAGCCTCTCTACCATTGCCGCCATGTCTTGGAGCCTCTTCTCCCACTCCGCCTCCTTGGCTTCCATGCGGGACCTCCACGCTTGGTTCTCTGCCCTCTCTTCCGTCAACTGGGTGGACAACTGTCCCACTTCTAACCTCGAGGCCGCCAACTCATCGCTGAGCATGGAGTACCGCTGGAAGGATGAGATCGCCACCTCACCTATCCTCCTGTTTGTACACTTAATCTCCATCCTGGTGGCTGGAAATCCCAAGTCCTCTGTCTCCCGTGCCTCGCCCACCCTCGCATTCCCCTGTCTTGCCTCTCGTGACCTCAGGCGAGCAGCATCCCTCTCGCCCTCATACCTGGCCTGAGCCTCGCTAATCCTTTGCTCGCTCGTCGGAGGGTCAATCAACAGAAAAATTCCCATGAGAAATGAAAGTTGAAAAACATTTCATAAAACAAAAATCCTTCATATTTATAAATTATAATTCTAATGTTTGTCCAATTCTAAAATTTTCAATTTAATTTGATAAGTTCCCATCTAAATATGAGCTTTCCCTTCCAACTACATCTATTTGTTCAAGATGGAATGAAAGTCTGGACGAGTTTATGAAATGTTTTAATTAGACTTTCATTCTATTACAACAAATATCGTCTAATTTAGATTGGATTAACCTATTTATGACTGAAAATCCTTACTCAGAACAACAGTCCAATTAAAATTTTTCATGAACTCATCCAGACTTCCATTCCATCTTTAGCATGCAGTTCAAATAAGAAGGGATACCCCATTCTTGGAAGGAAAGTTTTCAAGTAAGACGAAAAATTTTAAAATTGGAATTATATTTTTTAAGATGGAATAAAAATGTGAAATTTAAAATGTAATTTTACTCTAGAATAATTATTTAATTCTGGGAAATTTTTCTGTTGATTGGCGGCTTTGGGGCTTCTCCTGTGGCCTCCATCCTGAGCTTTTCCTGGTATAACTCCTCGAGGCGTACCTGCACCCTCGTGCGCTTTTCTTCTTTCATCTCCCCTGATGGCCTCCTTGCCCGCATCTCATGGGTCTCTCGTAGTGGGTCTCTCTCACTCGTCTCCTCCTCTGTGGGTGGCGGCCTTGGCGGAGGCTCCCCGGAGGTCGGCACCTCCACATCCATGCGTTCACCTGTAGGCTCAGTTAGATGTGGTACCATAGTAGTAGGTGTCCTCGCTCTCTCGCCCTCCTCTGGCTCCGCCTGCGTCGGAGGTGGCATAGTAGTTTTCGATGGAGGCCCCAACATTTCCTCGCTGTCCGACTCAGGAGTTCCTTCAGGCCAATACTGCCGTGCCTGTTCCGAAATCGGGGCAGGAGGAGGGGTATCATCCCCAACAGTGATAACCCCCTGAGTCTGCGGCTCCTCGGGTTCGCGAGACCCTGCCTCAGGCCCCGGCTCAGGTGGCTCCTCCTCTGGCTCATCCTCTACTGGCTCATACCGTGCCGGTCCGCTCTGGTCCGCTTCCTGCTGTGACGCCCCCCACTGGGACGCGTCGAGATGAGCCTCCAACCTGTCGAGCGGCGTCCTCAACGACACCGCCTCCCCCCCCTCTGGTAACATCGGCGACGGGCCCCGTAGATCACTGCCCGTGATTCGGCGAAACTCCACCTGCTCGAGTCCATAGGTAGGGGGTAGCTCCGCCGCCTGAGCTGGCCCTGCGGCTTGAACTGGCTCCACCGCCTGGGCGGCCTCTGCTGACCCATCTCGCTGTGTCAAGGCCTTTCGGCCCCCTCTGGTCGTAGCGGCCCCTCTCGCTTTTGGGCCCCGTGGCCTCTTACTCCTCTGTCGTCTTTCCACCCTAGGCTCTGGTCTCTCGGGCTCCAGTCGTCGAAATGCCTGTCTTAACTGGGCCTGGCAGTCCTCCCAGTCGTGTGCCCTGTCCCGGATCTTCTCCGCCAACGACCTCTCCGCCCTCCGCGTCCAGAGGGGCAGCATCTGCATCCACTCCTCCTGCTCAGTCCCCTGGTCGCGCATATACTGCTAATAGGCCGGGATGAACTCCTCCGCATTGCCTTCCTCCAATCGGATAGGCAACCCATCCGGTCCCAACGGCGAAGCCCTCAGCATCTGCATCCTCGCCTCCACATCCTGCCAGGTCAAAACCTCCTCCAGGATGTGCGCAATAGGCTCCTCAAAACGCCCAACTCCTCTCAGGTGTCGTATCCTCTCCAAGGTAGACCAACCCCCCTTTGCCGTATGTGCCTGGTAGGAGTCCAAAAAGAGCTTTATGTTATCATCATCAAAGACAGACGTAGACTCTCTCTCAGATGGTCTGCGCGAGTCATCCCCCCCTTATGCTCCCTGAGGCCTCTATCGTGGCCGCGCGCCCCTCCCGCCTCTCTGCATGGCTGTCTTCGAAAAGTCAGACCTGCACAACAGGCGAGAGAAAAGTAAGCAGGCACACAACAAGGTTAGCCCTCGATTCATCGAGTTTTTATGATAACATACATACCTTTTCCTACTCCCTCACCTGCCTTAACCATAACATGCAACACCTCAAGGACTAGTCCATTCTACAGGATGTAAGATTCTTTAGCTATTTCCTGGCCACGAACTTCTTCAGCCTGGTCCCTGATACCGAATCCTGCCAGCCTGTCCCGTCCAACTCCTCGATCTAATAGGCCCCAAATTCCCCACATCGCAAAATTCTATAGGGGCCCATCCATCTCTTGTCGAGCTTTCTCGACCATTGCTTCTCCAGAGAGGAGTCATACAGTAACACGACGTCCCCTACTGCCAACGACTCCTTCCTTACTCGCGCCATCTGGTCCCACCTCATCTTGTCTTCCATGCGGCTCCTCTCTACCTGACCGGCGGCCTCTCGCAATCTTTCCTCGGCCGCCCCCACTTGCGGCGCCCGAATATCGAGCAGTTCTTCGAAGGACAGGTTTACTTCCAAGTCTTTATAAAACTTTCTATGGGAAAGGTGGCGTGCCTCCCATACCATAGTGTGGCTGGCGCGTACTTGCTAGTCCTCTTTACAGTAACATTCTCCACGAAGAAAGCTGCTCGTAGAAACTTTGGCCACTGACCAGGCTTGCCCTCGGTCCACTTAGCCAGGAGATTCGTGATGGTACTGTGCCCCCTCTTCACAGGAGCGTTCGCTTGAGGGTGCGCGGCCGTAGTATAGTTGACCACTACGCCATACCCTGCAAGTAACGTCCTCACCTCATTGCAGGTAAACTCTGATCCTCGATCCATCACGAACTCCCTGACAAAAGGGTATCACAAGTAATACTCCTCGATGCAGTTCGCCAGAACCGGGCCAGTCTTCGTCCGGATAGCTCGGCCGTCCACAAACCCAGTAAGGTTATCCCGTGCATCGAAGACGTAGTTATACACATTCTCCCCTGCTGGCATGAATAACAGGTCCAAGTGTACAACCGCACCCACTTCCCTTTCCACCTTGGGTGTAGGGGCTCCCCAGGCCTTTGCGCTGACCTTTCTTGGCAAGGTATACAGAACCGGTAGTATTTGATAACCATCATCTGCATCCCCTCCCAATGGTAGAGCTCACTTATCTTCGCACATGCGGCACTTATTCCTCTGTTCCCTCCTGCTATACCATCGTGTAGGGCTGCTATGATATCAGTTTGCCGGTTTCTCCCACATACGATCCTCTTGGGGTTCCCGACCTGCCGCTTTATAAACAAGTGGCCGTCTCTTACCACATAGAGGTGCCTCATCTTCTGTGCCTTGGCACTTGCATCTCTATCCCTCATCTCACATGATAGGAGCAACCCCAATTCCCGGTAGATCTCATCATACTCCTCCGCTCGAAACGCCTCCTTGATCTCTCCTTCCTCGAATTCGTCGTCCTGACTTTCAAGGACTAAAATCTCACTTTCCTCATGACTGAACGAGCCATTCCGGCCGAAGTCTCCTTGCAGGAGCATACTGGTGAGCAGGTACATCCCTCCCATTAGCTGCTCATGTTCCTCTACTTGAGTGGGGCCTTCCTCTATTGTCCTCACTTCCTCACCAGACTGTGCGTACCTGCCAACGCCAACTTCATCATCCAACCAACATCCTTACTTCCCCACGGATCCTTCTCCTGAAAGGGCTTGAGGACTAACTCTTCCTTCTGTTCGTACCCCTTTGGTGCCAGCCATATGGGGTGACTGACGCAACTAGGCACTCGCAGGGACCATTCATTTATGTGCAGGCGGATGTCCTCCTCTTGATCCAGAAACCCATCAACTGGCGGCGTGTCTTCTATCGATTCCTCGTCCGATCCGTCCCAGTTGATGCGGCTTAACCCATCTGCCCTGTTCTTATTCCGGGGGATCCTTTCCAACTTGAAATTAAACATCCAAATGTAGGTCAACCATCTTGCGACGGTTGGGTCAGATGAAGTATAATTCTTTAGGGAACATGCCAGTGCAGTAGGGTCCACCCTCAAGATGAGCCTCCTGCCAAAAACATAGTTACGGAAGGTCCTTAGGCAATGGAGTACCGCCAGCGTCTCCTTCTTGAACTGAGAGTAGTTCCTCTCAGTTGTATTAAGGGTACGACTTTCGAATCTTAGCGGCTTCTCCTTCCCCTCAGTGTCTGCCTGAATCAGGACACCTCCTAAGGCAGTTGGCCCAGCGTCCGTCTCAATGACGAATGGTCTTTCCTCCGTGGCCTCATAGTTTGGCGCTCCCAATACCAAGCCTCCTTCCTTAAACTCTCCCTTCATCCTACCGACCGCCTCTTCCTGGTCTTCGCCCCAGACCCATTCTTGATCCTGGCGCACCAACTTCCTTAAATGCTCCGTCTTCGTGGCAAAGTCCTTCACGAAGCTCCTCCAGAATCCGCACGTCCCAAGGAAGCTCCTCACATCTGTTATCGAGCGGAAGGGCACCGACCACTTAAGAATCTTATGTGTCTTCTTTACATCAGGCCTTCGCCCACTCTCATTATAGACAAAACCTTGAATCGTGGTCTCCCTCATACAATGTTTCGACTTGGGGCCGCTCGCCGTCAGGTTATGTTCCTCCAATAATCCCAGAACCTGATCGATGTCTTGGACATGCTTCCAGACAAAACGCCGCACACCGGGCATCACTTCGTCTTCCTCCTTCTCCTTTGGACCTTTGACTGCCAGGTCATCGATATAGGGCTGAGTGATATGTGAGCTGACCGTCTGCATGGCTCTGATCATATGCCTTTGCACCATCGCCACTACATTCGTCCAACCTTGAGGCGCCACGTTCATATGAGTCAGCCCTCTGGGAGTGTGCATTGCCGTTACGGGCCTATCTGGCGGGTATACGGGGAATTGGTCATACCCCGAGTAGAGGACTATAAGCGAGATTATAGGCCTCCCTGCGCACGATTCAGACAATGCGTTCGCGTTCGGCAATCCTCCCGCGTCCCACACTGTCACCGCATTTAGCCGTTGCAAGTCCTGCACCCACCTTAGCGTCTCATTTGGTTTAATAAAACAAAACCAAGGCGACGTGTACGGCCCACTGGAATAATTGGCCACGTGCGTCCGCATCTTGCCGTCCAGGTAGTCCACCACCATCTTTTCCTCGTCCGGATTGGGGTACCGCGCACCCCTTAAATTCCATGGCTCGTGCAGAACGGTGTGGATCCGTATCATCGGAATCTTGTCCACATCCAGCCTCCCACGCTCATCGTCATTGAATGCATACGCATGGTGCCTTTTCTTCATCAGCCCCACCATCAACGCTCTTTCCTGGGGCGACAGGAAGTCGGGGTCCCCGATTATCAACTTTCCCTCATTCTGGTCATTGATACGGCACGGCCCGGCCAACGCATGCTCCCGCATACGCCGTATCAACCCTCGCTCCCGCTCGTAGTAGGCTTCCTCATCCTCTGCGACGAGCACGGGAACTGGGCGGCACTTCTTATCTATGGTCTGGTACCGCCTTTGGGAACCCTTCTTRAGCCCTCCCCTAAAAAAGGCCGACTTGTCGCTCGGGCCTGGGCCATCGCAGGGCCTCCCCTCCCTCCCGGAAGCCGATACACCAACTTCACCTCCCCCACCTGAGGGTTCTCCAAAACCTGTTCCCTCAATGCCTTAACGGCCTCCGGATCCGCCATGTCATGAGCCGATACCACCTCCATGACCTTATTCACATCCGTGAGGCTCAATGTCAGCGCCTCAACCCTATCTTCCTCCTCGGGCACTTCCCAAAGTCGTCGCCGCTCGTTCTCTGATTCCTCAAAGGCGAACGAACCTAGATTGGGCCTATTCCTCCCGCTCCCCGGCCCCGTGTTCCGGCAGGTGATAACTTCATATTCCCACACGCCGGGTCGCACAGGAGCAGGATCATTGTTCCGTCGTGCTTGTTGAAGATCAATATTTCCGTTCGGCATAGGAACGACCGCCCTTGAAGGATGGGGTGATCGACATTGGGCATAACGAAAAAGCAAGTCCTGGCTCGCACCTTCCCAATCTCTATAATCACATTTGACGCTGTGTCGCAAAAGGCGGCCTTGCAGTTAGCGCCGTGCAGCATGCCATGGTCCGAGCGGTCGATCTCCATGCCTATCATCACCGCCTCCTTCTCCCTGATGATGTTCATCTCTGCGCCTGTGTCCACCATCCCAGTACACTTCTGGTTCCTTATCACCAAATCCACCTGCTCGCACGCCACACATTTCCAATCCATCCTTGTCCCTGTCTCAGTCCACTCCACCTCTCTAGGCAGGACCGTACTCAGATGGACATTTGGCACCAGCCTTCGCGACAGTCGTCCCTTCAACTCACCACGGAGCCTTGGCGATGCCAGGATGTCCTTTAGGTTCATCAAGTCATTATGGCCTTCCAGGAGTTTGTCCACCATCCGCTCCACATCAAAGCCTTCCTCCATCCGGACCGCGTACTTCTTTCTCTTAGGCACGCTGTTGGGCAGCTCTGGCTCGGCCTCCTTCTGGGCCCCCCTCTTTTTGGCCCTCTGCTCCGCCCGCTGATCCTCCTCTTGTCGGAGTCTCTCATCCTCTTCATCGTCATCCTCTTCCTCTTCCTCCGGAACCTCCACCACCTCCTTCCTACGTCCAGGCTCCGGCTCCTTTTGAGGGGGTGCCTGACTGGGCGCCTGACTGGGCTCTTGACTAGGCCCAACCTTATTTTGGCTCCGGGTCCGAGCTACCTGCAACACCCTCCCATGCGACGTGGGGGTTTATAGGTCATACCTGACCTAGGGCCCGTCCCTACAGTCGCCACTCTTGGGCACCCTTGTTGTCCTGGCGAAGGCTCTGGCCCGGAGTCATAAAGGAAGACCTCAGGCAGGTTGGCCTCCCACTCTCGGGCTCCTTCACACAGGGTTTGCAGCTTCCGCTGGTATCTCTCCACCTTTTCCAGCAGATCTTCCATCCTTCCCAGGAGGAGTGTGGCCGGCTCTTCCTCGCCTTCCCGCCCCTCCTCGTCCGACTCGACGACTATTGGCTCCTCTCTTATAGTCCCCGCCCTTAGTCGCTGAGTGACCTCCTCACTATCCCCTACAATCTCCTCGACCCTTACGGTCGGCTCTTCCTTCTCTTGCCACATCCTAAACATTGTCGGGGATGCTGTGGGCCCCGCTGCTGCTCGCCGGAGAGCCTCTTGCCTGATTCCTCCCGGGGTCCTAGGGTCGATATGCTCTCCCCACTTATCGTATATATCCCCGTCCATACAAGAGGAAATTAGGCCTGTCAACTCATCATCTCGCCGCCGTTGGCAGAACCGTATAGTGTGGCCCACCTCGCTACAATGCCAGCAGGTGGCGTTTCGCCAGTCAAAGCGGGGCCTCCCATACCCTTGGCCCCCCTCTTGGCCACCTCGGCCACCTTGGTTCTGACCCCCCTGACTATTCCAACCACCCCCGCGACCCCCACCATTTCCTCCTCGGCCTCGACCGCCACCTCCTCGGCCCCCTTGACCTCGGCCTCCATTGCCTTGTTCGCCTTGTCCGCCTTGTCCTTGGTTTCCTCCACCGGCCACACTGACCTGCGAGGCCTGTTGGGAGGGAGGTGGTTGGGCCACAAACTGACCCTGGGCCGCAGGGTAGGTCGGGGGCCCCATACTTGCCGCTAGGCCCTCATAAGGGACCATTTGCCCGGGCTGAGTCTGACTACCCCCGCACGAGGCGCAGTGATTACAACTGGGCCAGGACGTAGGTTGACAATGCGGCACCCAATGCCCACAAGCCGGCGGCGGCCCCATACACGACGGCCCGGCCGTCGCTGACGTTGTCGTGGCAGCAGGTGGCGGCGCAACAATCGCTTGCGGGACCTGCCCTTTTCCAGATCCTTGACCCCCCACTTGTAAATTCCGCTGCTTCCTCTGGGCCTTGGTTAGGATCTGGGAGCCCGTCTTTTCTCCGCTATAGCCCTCGCGCCTAGCCTCCTCCTCCACTGCCCCCGATGCCCGGCCTTGGCCCACGGTCACTTCCCTCTTTTGCACTTCCGCCTCATTATCATACCCCAGCGCTGCCAATACATCCGTGACGATCCTCTTCACCCCTGGGGTCCCGGACGCGGTGGCGTCCCTTTCCTTTCTCTTGTGCCTTTGCAGCCGCACCTGGTGCTGCTCCACCTGGTCCAGGTTCCCCTCTTCCACCCCTTTGTCGATAGTGGCCCAGGTGAGTTTCTCATTTCCCCCTCCGTGACCCGTCAGCTCTGAGGCCTCCGAGCCAGTAAGCAGACCCAAAAATATGGCACACTGCGTTTCTTCGGAGATCCCGTGCACCTTCCGCGCCTTCCTTTTAAACTCGTGCACAAACGCCCCAATCGTGGAAAAGTCATCCTTGTTCATTGCCTCCAAATCCGCCATGGTTAGCAAGCCATCCCCCAACCTATACTTTCTCTGCATCATGTCCCTGAACCTCGCCCAACTACCATTGGCGGCATCCACGACCTTGCCCACTTCCTGATGGTGGCTATGAAGGACGTATCTTAAAACTCGTTGGAGCTTGACCTGTGGAAGGTATCAACCTTCGGGACATTGCTCGGCGCTCTCTCACGCTTATCCAGGGCATCAATGAGGTCGTCGAGCGTTACAAGCTTTTTCCCACCGTCCGCCATCTCCTCAGGCATTTTGATTAACTGTCTTCGGCTTCAATCCCCCTGTTATAAGAAGCGATAGGACGAAAGGTTCCACTCAGCAGTCCATTCCTTCACGATCCTATCGGACCGACCACCTAAGCACCCGACGCTCTGGACCTGGCAGACATCTCTCTCTCCACTTCCTACCTCCCTTGGGTTCACCTAAGAAAGATCCATTCTCATCACAGAATTCACTCACATACTCACCTCGTTCATGCCATCAGCCAAACCACCAATCAGATCAACATTCACACCCACACAGCCATATAGACTACTATACGATCCATCTCATAGTTCTTCTCTTATTTGCTCACGTGCCTAGTTCTCTCTCATTCCTATACCCGCATTTCGTTCCACCAGGGACAACGGTAGGTTTCCCTCATCCCCGGCAACGGTGCCACCTGTCGCGCGCATCGGTCCGACACCGCTCGTGGCAGCGCGGGACCCTCTCGGCCGCGTCATGCAAGAGTTGGACCCGCCTCGTCGCAAACACACAAATGGAGCTTCCTTAGGCCGCTCCGGCCTAGTGCGCCAGCCATACCTCTCGCGAGCCCCTACGACAGGATAGGGCCTACGCGAGGCACAACTTACCTCCACCTTACGGGAGCTGTAACCTCCCTTCAGTGGGCGTATCCCTGCCGAGCTACCAGTCCACAGTACGAAAGCTACTCGGTTGCAATCGCAGAGGTGGACAAGACGAGGGCATTTCTCGTTCGCTGTAGCATAGGGGGTACGCGTGGTAATACGCCTATCGGACCCGCACGCCGGCCGACATCTTGGGGAGCTGAAGTTCCAAGCGTGGCTCGACATCGGTCGACTAGGACGCATGCCACACACCACGCGCACACCACTCTACGAACATAAAAACAAAACATACGCGCACGCACACATTGCACAAACGACACAACACGAACAACGTGACAACGCTCCTAGTCCCTCGGTAGCCAACCCATAACTTTCCAATGCGGAAATCGGATAGGCGTCGCGCACGAGACTTAGTATAAAACCGCGCGGACGCAGGGCTAACTCATATCGACTCGCAATGCAAACGTACGCAAGCAGTCGCAATGATGGCGTACTATGTTGTGCCCATAATCGTGCGGCTCTCGTTAATTTCGAGGGTCGCATTCGACACTCAAGTGTCGGCTGACACACGCCTTGAGGGTTAATCTCTCGACGCTGGACAACCACTGTGCGCGGTTGGAGACCACACCCTCTTCTCCACCCTGTGCAGAGGAGTTGAGTAGACAACTTTAAGCTGTCAAGGCGGTCGTCAAGGGGTTTGACTTTGATGGCCGCCACGGACTATAACGTCCAACCGTGAAAACGCAAAAATGAGACTCACTCCAACCCCCATTAGCTGATGACCCTCTAAAATGGAAAGGGGGTGGATAAGCCTAAGCGGCGCGCGCGCGGAGGAGGTCCGGTATCCTATCCAAAGGCTACCTGGCGTCCGGGATAATGAGGTCCGTACACGGACCCCCAAAGGCTGACCGGAGCTAGTCCTCCGCCCACGTGCCGCTTCGTGTTACCAAGACCCCAAGTTTACTGGCCGTGTCGCGCTCGTGATTTCGCCGCCTGATCCATAACTCTTTTAGTGTAGGATGCGACGAGTGTCGCGCGCGAACTTAGTATAAGATCGCGAGGGCGCTGGACTTACACATACTATCTCGCTATGCAGTTCCACGTGAGTAACCGCGATGACGGCGCATTGTGTAGCTCCCACACCCAAATGGCCTATTCTGAGCCAAGGGGTCCCCTTTCAAAGCTCAGGCGTTGGCTGAAGCACGAGCCAATGGGGGTAACCCTTTTGCGCGCGCAAAACCGACCTGAGGGCCTTTCCGTCTTCTGCACCCTGAGGTGTCCCAACGGGTGCGGGGCAAGACGACCCCTACGGCAGGAGGGAGTTCGGAGCGGTGGTGAGTTGTCTGGCGCATCACCAGCAATACGTTGATCCTTCCGCCAGGAACTTTATCGTTCCACCAAGATGAATTGCAACAAGGAAAAGAAACAAGAATTGGCGAGGGATATCTCCCCCCTTTCTATTCACCCCAACCTCCGACTGACCCTTAGTACGCGGGCACTTCAGGCCACGCTAGCTCCACACGTAGGTACACATGCACTTGCACATATATATATATATATATATATATATATATATATATATATATATATATATATATATATATATACACAAGGGGGATAATTATATGACGATCACTTCTTACAGTCATAGTGGGTCTCCTCCTAGCCATACATATATATGCGACCGCAGGGCAACCCAACCAAAACCCCAAGTCTTTGAACATACCTGCAATCACATCAAAAGTCAGACAAGAGTCCACCCACTACGCGGAGTCAACTCCAACCAGTTCCTATACTCATACCCCTCGGGTTAGCCATGCAAACCCCAACTTCCAGCCAACCAACCTCAATTAAATACTCAGTACCTTTGTTAAATGGTCATTCAATAAAAGTCCGGGTTAAACCCTTAACAAACAAAAAGATCACCAGGGCTAAAGCCTTTTAGGTTGAGTATGGGGAGCGAGTAGGAATTGAGTCGTGAGCCGACGAATCGGCAACCGACCTGTGATCAGTGATAACAGATGATGATCCTTGTAGGATCAAACTGAACTAGCCCAAGTCCTGAATCGAATGTCCAAGAAATGCCTGTACCATAAGACAGGTCAATGCCCAAGCTAAATCATCAGCATATGGGGGATGACCCTCCATAGCGCATTCTTACCCAAGTTACCTACCAACTAAATCAGAGTCTACCCCTAGCCAGTGCCCAAACAAAGGTAGACTAACGGCAGGATCTCCCCTATTCAGGCCCTATTCAGGGTGGATCATCAGAATCGTCATCTGTCTGAATATAATCTAACTCCTCTAAATCAAGAAAATTTCGGCAGCGCTTCCTTTAGGAAAAGTGTCTTTTCAAGATTTATATCGGCCCGAATATKAAAACARAAATAATCTTTGACTTTCCAAAGYCYAATTTTGTCTAACTCCSTGAATTTGCAAAAATTTGGGCAGCACYCGCTTTAGAAAAGGAGACTTTCCAGATTTTTACTAAGCCRTACATGAAYTTYAGACAGGTTGAACCTTGAAAGGTCAAGAATWKACMAACTCCCCGGATTTGTAGAAASTTCGRCAGCGCTTCCCGTAGAGAAARTGRCTTACCAAAATTTATACAAAGCCAAGTWTAACAAAAGATCCCAGAAAATGCGAGAATCGATCTAAGTAAAAACTTAGCTAAAAAAATACAGAAATTGACCTAACTCCTATCGCTCTAGCACGAGGCGAGCCTCTAAAGCAACTACCTGTCAATCTGACACTCAAACCAAGTAGTAGCCTCACTCAGACTCATGCAAGCCAAACCACAGAGGTAAGTACTCTCGCCACCCCAAATCAATCTTTGCAAACAATAGTTCGTAACTTCTCAATGTTTTATCCCCTTAAACCCAGCTTACATAGGGCATAAAGTCAAGCCGTCCAATCTTATGGAACTTGCCTGACTTAGCCATTGAGTATACACGAACAGGTTGCATAACTACTCCTCTCTTCTTTTTAGGCATACGACTAGGCCGGTCATCTTAGAACAAGGCTTAGTCGCCAAAAGCTGTTTAATATCCAACTTATATATACCTCTCTGAGCTTAGTGTTCAAAAACTGGGCATAGGACCGATCCGTTCATCTTAGAACAAGGCATGACCTGCCTAGGATTACCTTTAATTATACTCTTAATTATATTCTCTTCATTTTATGACAAGCTATTGCCAGGCCGTCCAATCTTATGGAACCCATGCCTGGCTAACCTGTTCATAAATAGGATAGTATAAAATATAATCAAAATTTAGCCTTTTGGGTTCCAGCATGTGCGAGGCATTGGGCCAGACCGTCCAATCTTATGGAACTGGTCTGGTCCTCTGCCAGGTTCATTTCTCTCTGACCCAACTGTGTACAGCATGAGTCCAAGGCCGTCCAATCTTATGAACATGCCCTGCCCTCAGCAAGGATTATCCCCTCAGAGTAAAACAAGAGGGGGGTTGAGTCGTCCAATCTTATGGACTTGCTCAAACCTCCTTAACCAAAAACAAAGGAAACAGAACAAACCCCAATTAAACATGGCAACCAAACCCTCTAATCTTATGGTACAGGTTCGGCCCCTGAAAAATCAGCCACAGTCAACCCTCACAATTCGGAGCAATCAGACCGTCCAATCTTATGGAACTGGTCTGACTCTCCATGCAATTCAAAAATAAGCACAACGGTTAGGCCGTCCAATCTTATGGAACTGGTCTGACCCCATAGGACCCTGTCAGCCTCAGGCAAAACCACCTTTCACCCACCCTTCCGCCAGATGCACCCCTTTGTGTCCACAATCTGCGTTCAGGAACTCAACAAACTGAAACTGCGATTGCACACACATCCCTTTATTTAGTCTGAGTTGTGTCCTGTAAGTCAATCCAAAGTCAAAATAGGGGTGCTCGCAACATACTCAGTCAAACATAGCAAGACGTACAAGTAGGGGTTATATCAGGGTATATGCAGGGGAAGCAATGGTTACCTTTCAATTCCCTGCCTCCAGAGCCTCGCCTAGGCTCCGGCAGAGCTCCCGCAATCGGTGGGGCGAACCTCCCACAGAGGCCTTGGCGCGGATTACGGGTTGCAATCCCGCCTTTCGCCTTCCTCTCAGAACCAATGGACGAGACTTAGAGGAAAAGGGCAGAAGTAGAATGGTTTAGCCTCTCAGATACAAGAGAGGTGCACTCAGACTCGCGAGAGAGGGCCTTGATATCTTGATTCACCAGAGG